CAGGTGAGAGAGTTCTGTTCTTTCCTGTGTTGAGGAAATTGTGTCTGAAGCTCTCCTGTTTCCAGGCCCCTCCCACAACACCAACACCCTGATGTATGTGCTGTGACACTGCTCTTAACTTTTAAACAAAAGTGAAACAGGTGCAAACGAAATCTCATGATGCATTAGTAAACAGAATAACAATGTCGCCATCATTTCCTTCTTTTCTTTCTTTTATGAAATCCTTTTTTTTTTTAATGCAGTCTAGTTTGTCAAAACCTGATGAATGTACCACCCCAACCACATAAATTGTCAGGATTTTATATTTTATTTAAAGCAACAGGGAACAGGGAACACCAAACGTCTAGAATTCTTTGGTGATAAAAGGTAAAATAAACAGTTTCATTTTTACTTATTTGTTGGTTTATTTGCTTAGCTTACTATTTGAGGGGTAGAAGGGTAGAGAAAAAGCATGAATAAAATGTAAATGAGTGTTTTCTTTTACCCATTCTTTTGAAAAAAGCACACGTACTAAAATCACGTCTTAAACTGCAATTACGTTTTATAACTCAGTGAAATTGACAGATTTAAGAAAGTTTTGAGCAATGAGCTAGTGAATGGTGAAAAGTCACACTGGAGCGCAGCTCTGGAAAATGAGAGGTCATCTTGGGCATTCTAACACCAGATGAAGTCCAAGATTAATGTAACCACTGGGATGACCTCAGTCTAGTTTATGTGGAAAAGAAGAACCGCTCAGCTGATCCCTGTCAACTGACAGACTCATGGGAAATAAATAGTGGTTGTCTCAAAAAAAAAAAAAAGACTTTAACAAATCTGTTCTTGTAGGTGTCTGAATTTTGAAATCATTATTAATTATTTTTCAAGACTTTTTAAAAAAGAAAATACGTTCACCATTTGTAAATCAGACAAAAGGAAACATTTGCCTTGAAAAATATTTTTATAAAAACTTTTATCCTGAAACTCAAGCGAGTCTTGGTGGGGGTCTGAATAAAACAGAAGAGAAAGGATCTTTGAGTTCGACTGTGGTCACAGTTAACTATTTGAGGGAGATTCCTATTGCTTGAAGTTTCCATTTCCTTTGCTCATAAAATATTGATATGCTCACAGTAATATCTTGCCTTTTTAAGACAGACACATTTATAGACGCAAGAAATGATTTATGTATTTTTTTAAATATGTAAATGGTAAGTTGACGGAGAATCTGAAAATTCTTGCTTGATGAAATGATTAGAAACCAACATGTCCTGCTGAAAAGGAAGTCTCGGGCTCCAGTGATAACCTGTCTTTTATCACTGACTTTAGCCAGATCAGATTTTATTCCAACGTCTCTGTAAACATAGCTGGAAACTAACAGAAGAGAAAACTCTTGTAGAAATCAAGTATAAATATGGAAATGAGTTTCTCTGCAGTCAACTAAATAACACTTATTGTTTGCTATTAAAGCAAACCACTTAAGCCTTCAAGTAGGCAGCATAAACTTGTCAAGTTTAAGTATGGAGATCGAGCTTTAGTTCATGTAAAATTTGGATAAAAAGGAGTGGTTAGGTGGGTGGAAAGAGATTTTGTGTTCCTAACCTGATCTGGTTTCTTTCTTTCTTTCTTTTTTTTTTTCCTCCTGCTATAGTTCTGCACCTCCTGGAGTGTCAACACGTTCCTTTCTGCTGAAGACAAATCTATTTTGTTTTCTCTTTTAACCAAAGTAGTAATGATGGAAGAATTAACCTCCCCCTCCCCCCGCCCCCGGCCATTACGCCACCCCCAGTTAGAAAGATACATGTTTTGAACTCCAGAACTTAGTCACTGCACTTTCTTGGTAAATAGATTTCCTTCTGAGTCATGCTATTCCTACTGAGCACAACTATAATTGTGCAGAGATCTAAATCCCTTGATAAGGGCAGGGTAATAAATGGAAAAGTTCGTAGTTAAGATCCCACAAATCATAAGATTATAATTCACAAGAATCTCCCATCTAGCCTTTACATGAGGTTAACATGATGCCTTTTAGATTTTGACAGGGGACTGTGGGTTCAATAGTTCAGAGGCTCTGTGGCCGGGTCAAACCAACGTCACTGTATCATCTTTACATCTTATTTCATAACCACACCACTTTCCCTTTAACTTTGTTGCAGTGAAAGAAGTTGCTGGCTTTGGTTTTGTTTTATTATTTAACGTTTGGGCAGTTTCTTGTATTGGCAACAGTGGCTTCTCTACATCCTATTTCATTATTTGATGTACCATAGTTTTCTTGTTTGTTTTTTTTTTTAAACCAGTTCTGACCCCAAATGCTGAGAGAGATCCCAAATGCTAGGAGAGATAATACAGAGACATTACGAGCTACATCTCTTTAGAGAGATGAAGCACAGAGAATAAAAATAAAGTGGAAATAAATTAGTTGGTTAATTAATTGACTTAGGCAGATAAATGAGATGCATCCTACCATATCAGAGTTTTGTTAGATAAATGCCAAACTTCCGCTGTGTCATGCACAAGGTAAACAGTTGGTCTGAATGATCTGACACATGTTAACGCTGAGTGTATTCCTTCTCGGTACTGTATGGTCAGGACTGTAGGATTCTTTAGAGTGCTGGCTAATGTTTAAAGGAACAATCACCAAACGCGTGAATTATGGGTTACATTTATCTGGTATACCTTTTTTTCTCTTTGTAAACGTTCCACGAAAGGCTTAGTCAGAACACTGGCCTGTTATTTAAAGACAGTAACTTCCTCCTTCGAAATATAACACCTGTGAAACTGGGGTAATTTGCAATCGAACAACAACAACAAAATCCCAAATCATTTCTTTTTCAATATCAACGCAGAATGTGTTGTTTCAATAGACATTTAATGAATTTTGTAAAAACATTTAAAAATCGAAACTAAAATAATGAATTTAAGTGTGTTTCCCTGAGATTTGGCTTACTAGGCAAGAGGAAGTCTAGTTTTTGATCTTTATGAGCATCTTGTAATAAAATAATACTTGAGGTCCTAAAACGTTCTTAGTACCATATAAAATATATGAAAGAAATAATGTCTTTGTCTCTCGGGAAACTTGAAAGTGAAATAAAAATAGATGATTAAGCAAAAGGAAATTCTATTTGTCTTTGTTTCCCAAGAGTTGTTTCTGATTTAAACAAAATCAAGCAAATAAAGAAATAGCAACAACAAAAGTCACGCCCTTCCCTGAAAGTATTTTATACGAGTGTAGGAAGGGAGGCTTTGAGACAGCATTCACAGTGTTCTGTAATCCACGTGAAGAATGAAAACCCAAAACACCATTATTCCTTTTTTTTTCTGGTAATAAACATGTTACCATAACAGAGATATAATTTGGAATTAAAAAATGTGAAAGAATGAGCTGAGGCATAAACTGTTTTCACACATCAACCACTAAGATGAGTAAAGAAATGGGAAAACTCACAGAATACTGTTATCTTCAGCTTGAATCACTGTCAACAAAAGCCTTTGCTGTGCCTCTTGGTTGCACGTGTCTGAAGCTCCCTGGGAAGGCCCTTGCACACAGCAGACAGCCATCTCCTGTCTGCATCTGGAGCCTCCAGTCAGAGGGCAATGCTGGGCCCTTTCTAGCAGCATCGGAACGAAAGGCTCACACAAGCCATCAGCCATGGCTCCAATGCCCCTTGTATCCAATGGCTCCAATGCCCCTTGTATCCAATCAAAACACTTTCCAGTCTCTGATAACAGTGGTTCCTAGAGTCTAGATTTCCTAGATTCCCACTATTTTATAAGAGCATATCACACTTTGATCATCAAATATGCTTTTATTACTAAGTGCAGTATAGACCTGCGGTCAACTGAGAGCTACTAATTCTGTGACAGGCATTCAGGCTAAGCTCCTTGCCTTCCACCAGGCTGAGGTGTGTTGGAAGACCCCAAAATACTTTGACTTTAACTAATTTTTTGGTATGCTGTTCCTCTCTGGGTTGACAAATGTGGATAACTCACCAAGCTGCCATGTTCCTAAAGCCTTTGGAATGGCATTTAAACTCAGAATAAAGTAACAGGAAGGAATGCTTATATTATTATGGGGAAGCAGAATAAATTGATCTAATGGCCTTTTTAAATTTTAAAAAATAATTGTCCAGGGCATGATGTGTGTAAGCCAGTCTAGGAAGAGTCCAGAATGGAGCTGGGTTTGATGTACGAAAGGGAGTCACATGCAGGTCGGGCTGGAGAGGGTCTGGCTGTTTAAGCTCATGGTGACCCCTTCTCCTGGCCTCTCTGAAGCATGAAGTGGCCTCTTGTTTCTCAAAACTCCCATGGGCAGTGTGGTTATGTTATCTTAGTCCTGTACTCTCCTTATCTGCTTGTATCTTGTGGCCCTATTAGAACTCTTGAAAAGCGAAACTCATTTTTTAATTTATCTGTGTATTTGTTTTCTTATTTATTTTTCTGACTTTGGACACCACCTAGCACTGTGCTTGGTTTCGTGTACACCCACTGTATGCCAGGCCTTGAGTGAAGGCACGGAGGACACAGGTGAGATGAAATGGCATGTGCCCTCCAGGAACTACAGCACAGAGATGGACTTGAAGACCCACACGGGATGAGGCGTTACTGTCCTGAGCTCAATGAGAACGCAGAGCAGGCACCCACGCTGTGGAGGCACAGGGGAAGGCTTCACTCTACCGTAGACTGATCTTGAGACATGAGAGGTGTGTAGACGGAGCGACATACACACAGGCGTGGAGGGGAGAGATGGTGTGGGATGCCCTGGTCCCTATTAAGGTTGGAATGGCTGAGACATAAACTAAGAGAGTGTTGCTCAACAGTGATACAGCTCAGCCCACAAAGAACCATATGTCTTGTTAAGAAATCCAGACATGATTCTGTAGCATTTAGGAAGCCAAAGAAGAGTCATGACATTAGGAGGGCGTGGCTGGATTTGCTTTTAGAGATTACTCTGGTGGCAAGAAAGAAAATACCGTGTGTGTGAGCGCGCGCGTGTGTGTTGGGGTCGGTGGCAGGGAGGGCAGGGAGGGGAGCCAACACTAAATGCAGGAAGACCAGGTGGAGATTGTTACAGTCTTGGTTCAGTGATGAAATGCATTTTAATTCTGCCAGTCCAGCCTGCATTCAAATGATATTTGTTCAGTGCGTACTCTATGTGATGATTTCCATGTATTTTTAGAATTTTTATCATATTTCAAGTTTATAAGATAAGGACTACACCCAATTTCTTCTCTTTCTTTTTCTTTCGTTTCTTTTTTCTTTTCTTCTTCTTGTCTTGTCTCTCTCCCTCCCACGCTCCCTCCTTCCTTCCTTCCTTCCTTTTTTCTATACTCATTTAGGATATAAAGAAACCGAGGCTCTGAGAGGCTGATACTATGTAAAGACAGACAATCTCACAGAGATTAAATCACCCAAGGTCACACACATTTTAAGTGCTGGCTTTGGGACTCCAACTCAGTCTTGTGACACAGCTTTCTACACCACACCCGTGACATCTGCTGTCACGAGAGACAATGAGCTTTACCGCGAAGGGAAACCGATCAGGAATAAGATGTCTAGATTTTACAAATGAACTACTTATTATTTACAACTTGGATGATTGATTTCTTGAGTATGTGTAAGCACATTTGACTACCCTTTAAGATTGGATTACCGCATTCTGTTGATTCTTATTTTGTGGTTGGCTTGTTCTTTGATAATTATGTAAGTTTCAAAAGCTGAAGCTCTAATCTGTTCTTAGAAACAATAATTAGTACATGTGAATTAAATAGTAATATGTAAATTTAAAAAGGGGCAGTATACTGTATTTATGTATTTATATGAAATATAATGTGTGTGTGCAGTTGAACTGTAATAATTCTACCTAATAAAACTGAAAAAGGAAAAAAAAATGTTGCTTATAACCTGCCTTGCTTTGTCACCTTGATGAAATCACTAAATTTCTATTGGCCATGTACTTTCTGTATCTTTAAAATGTTCACATGTGCTTCCTCAAGGTTCTGTGAATTTATTTACATATGTTTGGGGTGGTGATCATCCTGGCAAGTTTGTTAGAGTGGAACAGAGGAGGTGAAGTCTAAAAGAGACTGAATTCATTCAGGGATGAGAATGGTGGAGGTGGCAGGGGAAATATGAAAAGTGTCCAATTTAGAAAATATTCATAGTCCTTAAGACTGGGTTCCTTAGCAAAATAAAAAATCCCATTGCAAATGAATCCCAAGGTTGTGGGAAAAGGTGAATATCTGGTGATCAGGTTGACAACAAAGGTAATAAGGAGTAAACCTGTAGAGGAAGAAAGATTTGAGGATGTGGTTTTGGGCACCTCAGGTTCCAGCCATCAATTGACCAATATATCTAACTGGCTTTTCTTCTAGACAATTTACTGGATAGGTCAAAATAAATCATAAGACCATAAAGATTTGGAGAAGAAAGTGTAGAAAAGTGAGATTTTGATGTGAAAATGACCTTCCTTCAGGAATAAACATATACAGTGTGAAATCAGAGAATTTTAACCCTTAGGGAGATTTATATATTATTAAATAACACACAACAAACAGCTTTCATCTCAAAGCCTCCTAGAACTGGGTCATGTCATGCTAACTGTGCACATTTTTAAACGAAATAGTCAACGTACCTCAGGGGAGACTTCTGTAATTCCAAATTGGGACAAACTTTGATGCAAAACATTGATATTAAGTGAACGCAGCACTTCCTCAGATGGCAGAGCGTCAGAAATTCCTGCTTTTCTATTTATGGGAGACACAAATAGCTCCACACTGTTCTTCTTTCCCTAGTAAAAGCAGATGATTTGTATATGTTAAGAGACATTTCCAACAACTTGGAAACATTAAAGAGAACCAGAGCTTTAGAATCCTAAAAGTCATCTTGCAGATCACATGCACTAGGTATTCTCCGGTGCACTCCACATTACCAGCCCAAAGCCTGAAACCTTCAAATGGCCTTCATCCAGTTAGCTGACACCTCAAGGTTTGTAATTTTATATTTCACTGGATGCTGATTTATTTTCCATTCTGTGTTGTAATTTTTGAAAGATAGTGTTCAGATGTTCCCCGAGTAATTGTGTTTAAAGAAGCATTTTTAAATCAAACGAATTAAATAAAACAAGATGTGCTGATAGAACAAGACAATGATTAGACATCACCACCCCACTATTTTTCTTATAAGCTGAATTAATGTGAAGGCTGGACTAAGGAAGGTGATGCTAGCTTTGAAGTTGCTTCCCTGATCCTGTTTTTCATCTCAGATATGCCACGCTTCTAAGATCTAGTCTTTGGTCGGAATGCACATGGCACGCAATGATACCATGTTACTTTCCTATTAGTATTCTGTCCTTGGCTGAAATGGAGACAGACTTTCTTACCATAAATGGCTGATACCACATACACACAACAAAACAAACACCACACAAAAATGACACTGCCATGGATAGATGGCAACTGTCCATCTTTTACAATTTACACAAAGCACTTATAAAAGGGAATTATTAGTCTTTTTTTTTTGATACATGGAATTCTGTCCTGCTAGAAACAGTTTCTCTTAATGCAATGCAACTTTTTATCAGACATTCAGCCAAGTATAGGACAGAGCACCGTTCTAGGAGTGTACTTCTAACAGTCCAGAAAAAAACGTTTCCGTGTTTGCAGCGAACAACCGACAACGACTAAACATCACATATTGATGTGGAACGTGTTCATAATCATTTAAGTAGTTTATGACCTAATAACAACAATAGTGAGGCTAGATCAGTTATTCTATGCTTGTCCTGCTCCCATGTACCTTAAATCTGTTATCTCATTTAATGCTCGAAATACCTCCAGGGCAGAGAAATTAGAGCTATTTCATTTTGTAACTGAAGGAACGTAAGCAGCTTGCCTTAGGTCACACAGCTGCGACACAGTCAAGCTGGAAATGGAGCAGAGTTCTGTGTCTGCTTCCAAAGCACATGCTCTTAATCACCATACTCTGCTGTCCCATGTATCTTTATAACTCAAACTAGTATAATAACTATTCTTAGAAGTAGACACGTGTAAATGCTAACATTCTCCGAGGATATGCATACCTCTTCCTGGGCATGGCAAATCCCTCTGTTTTCCCTTCAAAGAGCTATTATGTTCATTAAATCTATACACATAAAAGTGCATCTAAGATACCTGAGTATATATAAAAAGTCTAAATCTACATTTAAGACATCGACAAGACCTATGTCTTCTCACTTGAGCAAGATACGTGCTGGATATAAAAAATCAATTTCACTCCCAGGATATTGGGAAATGCTGATTTTCTTTTTTTCTTTTTCTTTTTTTTTAACTTCCTTTTTTTTGGGGGGGGGGGAAGTAATTAGGTTTGTTTATTTACTTATTATTTATTTTTAAATGGAAGTACTGGGGATTGAACCCAGGACCTCGTGCATGCTAAGCTGGCGCTCTCCCACTGAGTTCTACCCTCCCCACTGTTTTTCTTCTTCTATGCTACTGAGTTTAAAACTCTGTTTTCTTAAGCTTATTTAGTCCCAGAAAACAGCTGGCTCACAGAAATAAAAGTTATTATGGGGACGGAAACAATCCACCTTCCACATACAGAAAAATGAAAAGGAACAGAAACGCTAAACCAAAATTAAACAGCAAATCCTTCTCCGTAGCAGGAAATGCAGGTTGGGTGCAGTAGAAAGCTGAGCCCAAGGAGAAAAGCCTAAGAATTTAAGGCAAGGAGAATGTGAAATCCTTACTTGAATTCCCTGTACTTGGATGGTATCAAGGTCCCCAAACACTGAGGAAAGCGGGGAGAGAAAGGATGTGGGTGATTGACAAGCAGGTCTTAAGCGGGCCTTATACAAAATATCCTGTGGGTTTACCCCACGCCCACCACAGATACCCATCGACCTTTCAGCACTATGCTTGCATTCCATTTGGGCTGCAGTCCTTAAGGACTGGTTCTCCTTTCTTCTTTTTTCAGTATCCTCTGCCTGTGCATCCACCATCCTTCATCCTGATATGCTGGAAGCGATTTTAAAAGATGCTGTCTGGAGACAGCCAGCACCTGAAGTAAAATGGAAGTCTTCTCTCTTAGGGAGAATATTTTGGGAGTAGTGGCAGGTTGGTGAGACAAGTATATTTGGAAGCGGTTTTAAAAGATGCTGTCTGGAGACAGCCAGCACCTGAAGTAAAATGGAAGTCTTCCCTCTTAGGGAGAATATTTTGGGAGTAGTGGCAGGTTGGTGAGACAAGTATACTGGGCCCCTCTATTCCTACTTACCAGGATGCCTAATCTTGAACTATGAGAAGGTTGACGGACTTTTTCTGTATTGGGCCAGATAGCAAATATTTTAGCTTTTAATTTAGCTAAACAACCTGTTGCAGCTACTCAACTCTGCCGTGATAGCATGAAAGGAGCCACAGACTATATGTAAACAAATGGGTGTGGCTTGTTCCAATAAAGCTTTCTTTACCAAAGCAGGTGGTACGCCAGATGTGGCTCATGGGCCATAAAACGATAACATGGGTGTTCTCTTTTACTGTTCTTTATTATTGAGCCCTTCAATAAAGATCAAGGCTTGTGCTGTGGGAATGTGAAATGCAGGCATCTTACAATGAGGCGATTGATGTGCACTTGCTGGGGTAAGAGTCCTAAAGCAGCGGCCACTCCTTGGCGGAATATCCGGAGCAAAGTTATGTTCAGCTGGTTTACATCCATTTGCAGGGTCTGGAAGATTAAAAAAAAAAATCAAAGTATAGTAAATCTTTGATTTAGGATATTCATTTCCTAATAATGGATGACTGACCACAACAATTTCTGTGACTTTTGAGAAATTCACACTCCCAGTGCTTTACTGAATGTTTAATGGAGATAAAATTATCGGGACATTGTATGTGAAATTTTAAATGGTGTTAGGGAAGAAGATGGTACATTGTATAACAAGGGAACTTGTTTCATTATAATCAAGAACATATACGAATGATTAATTCATAAAGAATTTCACTGAAGTGTATGTTGGTTTTTTTCACTTTAGTTTAACACCAGATGACAGAATGTAATATGTGGCCAAGTATATTTCAGTAACCCAAGCCGAAGGACATATTTAATTTGTGTTCACACACAGTCAGAGAGGAAGATGCTGTGTAAGTTCCATAACACCAGGCTTGGCAGTTTCTCTATACAGTGATCTGCTGCCAGTGTAAGGCAAACGAATGAGGTGCAATAATACATTTCCAAACTCTGGTAAAGAGGCCAACGGTGCTGATAATTGAGTCTAAGGTTAACAATTCTTATTCAATTGCTTGGGCAAACACTTAATTTTTTAGGTTGTTTTGGAAAAAAGGCAATCAAATGTTTAAAAATTCCTAAAATACAAACAAAATGAACACTACATCCTTAATTTAAGGATGCTGTCATTATACTTAAAACATGAACTAGTTAACTATGTATTTTCAAAACTGCATCATAATCACTTGAGACAGATCCTTCGCAAGGTGGGGAAACCAAACCTTTATGCATCTCTTTATTATTTTATAATGCTTAATTCACCAACTTGACCAGAGTAGGTTATCAGTAACTATTGGATGGCTGCTACACGATCTGTTCTGTAAAGTGAGGCACACTTCTATGTACAAACTTCTCTGATACAGAGACTGGCTTATAGGTGTAATCTACTAAAATGTAAGAACTCTTTGAAGACCTTCTCCTAGTTTGCTGTAAAAGGATGATACTGCTTCAAGAATTTTTAGTTTTGTTAGGAAATAACACATCCTCTATAAATAAAATTGAGTACAAAATAGGTGACTGGAAACTGGACCAAATGCTCATTGCTACAGGAATCAAGAGGGAGGTGGGGAGGTCAAAGAGGAGTAGTGGTTCCCATTCAAAACGGTAAACCCAGCTGAAGCTTCAGACTGCTTACGCATCTTAGGACCTTTTAATGCTTGCATAGAGGTTTGTCATGTTAGGGAGCTGGGACTGGACTCCTTGCAAAAAAAAAAACTGAGATCCAGTAAGGGGAAGAACCATTGGAAAACTGTACTCAACAGCCCAACGATCAGGTACAACTGGCTTCAGGGGAGGGGGAACGAGATGTATGTTGAGGATCAGTAGAAAAGCTACATCAACACCATCAGTAATATTTTTCTTATGTAATGAAAACCATCTAATGGTTCACAATTGTTTGGTATATTATTTCCTGTATTTTTCTATAGTCTAGAAATGTTTCCAATATATAAAAAGATACTTTAATGCAGAAAGTAAGACTTGAGCTCAGCCTTGAAGGATGAGTGGCATATGAAAATGAGTGGCAGTAATGAGAAAGACAGCATTGTACTTTTAAGCATGTTTTTTGTTTTACAGAAACATGCTTTATGGAAACCCCAAGAGATCAGAAAAACTCAATTTGCTTGGTTTGAGAAACCGAGGCTTTCTTTTATCCAATAGCTTCCTTTCAGCTCTACAAGGCTGTGAAAAGTACCGTAGATGGGAGATGCTGTATTGGAAGCTGTTTATTCCCCTTCATTTGCAAAGCCAAAGATGGGCTCCTTGGTTTCCTGCAAGCATTGCTGAGGAACCACCGGACTTCTGGCTCCCGCAGTGTTTGTCAGGCAGGGGGAGCAGGCAGGCACAACCCTGGATTCCCATGGGCAGGATTTGGAGCCAACGGTCTACGCTGGGAACTGAGAGTCAACGGGGTTGTCTACACACTTGAGAACTCAATTCCCAGGGCCACGATTAACTTGAAGCCTGTAACTGTGGAAACAGTATGAAAGTCTAAGTTCCTCAGGCTGAAATGGTAAATGGTAGTGAAACAGGAAGTCAAGATTTAAAATCACTCAAAATGGCAACTTTCCAAGAGGTAAAACCGTGCATTTGAAACAGAAATCTAAACTCTCTAACTAAAACGTAGATGTGAGTTGAAGTCATTAGTTTAAAACTGCCATCATCTGGTTCATTACGTCAAACATTTGAATAATTTGCCTCCGTTCTCTGCTTGTCTGTGAAAAGCTGAATTGATCCCACAGAGCAAGCATGTATTTCTGACTATTTCCCTGTAAAATAGTGATGCAGTACAAAAAATATGTATTTGAGGACCTAATATGTGCCCAATATTATATATGAGCGCAACTGGAGAAAAAGAAAAGATTCTAGACAAAATAAGAATTTTATTTCAGAGAAAATAAAATAAATCTGACTTCCTATAGTAAGAGAGTATTTATTACCTCCTTCCTCCTGCACAGATGCTAGAAATGCACATCTTCTTCCCTCTCTATTAGGTGAGATCATAACGACTATGATAAAATATAAATTTCCATGGCAAGAACAGTGTCACAACTTCAAAGTTACCAATACAACCGTTGGAGATGTATTTCCATCTGAATTCTAAACCCATTTGGTCATTTCTATTATTTAACATACAAATGATTTAAGTTTTTAACTTTAAGAGAGATTAAAATGCTCTTTCCAAATGCAAATGCTAAGCCACTTCACAGTAGTAAATAATGTAGTTATCATCCAAAAGCAACTGAGTATTTTTATTGCTGTTCCAAATACATAAACATACAGGAAAAAAATTAAACATTAAAATTCTAAGATTTCAAATTCCATCTGAATTTAAATTTACTGGGACTCTGCCTTCTAAAGAGATTCCTGAGTCAATTCCTTTTCTCTGGGGACTGGGCTGCCTCCCCCACAAAAGAAATACCACTGTAATATGATTTTCTTTCTTTGGTTACCAGACAGTCCACTAACATAGTTGAAGCCTGTGAGCCTTAGATCTAAATCAATTTGAGAAAATTGATTAAAATGTACTTGAATTTAGGCACCAGCGTTACGTTTAAATTGTTAAGTATGTGATTGGCTTTTAGCTATTTATAGTTAAAGGACAGTTGAATTATTTTGCCTGGGCAGGGGGTGTCAAGTTTCTAAATGTTAGTCATCTCTCAATGTTATAAGGCAGCCTGGTCTGTCATCTGATCGACCCCAGTAAGAGTCAGGCCCACGCCTGGTAGCCCCATTAGGGGTTGGAAGGCCAAACAGAGGTCCTCCAAGCCCCTCAAAGAAATCCAGTCTCAACTCCCAACAGCCACCAATGAACCCAGCTTCCTTCAGGACCCATCTGGCAGGAGGAGACCACTCACCTATTTTTCACTCGAAGATGTGCTCATCACTACCCGGGATCTCTAACTTCATTCGTGGAGAGGAGCCTCCCCTTTTTGGCCAGTAGTTGGATGGTCAAGTGATTCCCCAGAATGAAAGCAGAAGTTTCTCTGTTTATGCCTCTGAACAAAGAAGAAAACCCTGGCCTGTCAGAGGCATTTTATACCATCACCCAATCCCTTCTGATGAGGCTCTGTGCTGTCTTCAACTATTACTTACATACTAACGATTTTTATTTCCATATTTCAGGTTTCCATCTTCCTCTGAGTCCTCCACCTACTCCCCTCTACGTGCCTGTTCCACTTACACTTCAAACTCAGTATCATCCAGATCGAACTTACCTTTTCCCCTCTCCTCATGCACAACCAAATTTACTTCTAGCTCTATATTTCATATAACAGAATGAAGTACCGTATTTGGAAATCATATTGACTCAACTCTTTTACCTTATCTTTTATCTGCCCCCCTCATCATGACATCCACTGAGCTATCAAGTTCTGTCTATTTTACCTTCTAAGTATCCCTTGAATGTTGAGTCCATCTTTGCTTCATCTGTATTTCTACCATCTCCATTCAGACGACTATCATGTCTATCTGGGCTGTGTGAATAGAATCTTCATGGGCTGCCAATCTCCTATGGTCTCTAATTCATTCCTCATACAAACACCATAGGGATTTGCGGAACATGCTAGCTCAATCAAGTCACAATTCTGCTTAAAACACTTTGAGGAAATCTCATTTTTTAATGAAAGGTCCTAAGTCCTTGGTTCACTGCAATTGCCCTGCCCTCCCAGTGTGACATCCCAGCCCTGTCCACCATGTACATTATACTCCGGCTGTACTCAAGGTGTCCTCAACATGCCGTGCCCTTTTTGCACTGGGTCAGTACATACGGGGATCTTGGCTAGACTTTCTTCCTTCTCCCTGGGGACTCAGCTCAAAGACCATTCTGCCAGATTTCCACGACCCCTCTTTCCCCTTCCTTTGCTTGTATCTTCAGCTCTCCAAGAGTATTCTATGTTGGAATTTAGTTATCTTTGTTTATATTTTTATAATAAAAATACAAATGAACTATTTATTACTTATAACTTAGATGATTGATTTCTTGAATACGTATCAGCACATTTGACTGTCCTTTATGATTGGATTACTGTATTCTGTTGATTCTTACTTTGTGATTGGCTTTATCCCTTTGATAATTATGTAAGTTTCAAAAGCTAAAGCTCTAATCTGTTCTTAGAAACAGTGATCAGTACACAGATGTAAACTAAAAAAAAGTGCAGTATACAGTATATATGCATTTACATGCAGCATAATGTATATGTGCAGCCAAACTACAATAATTCTACCTGAAAAGAAAAAAATAAACTTTTATGATTAAAAACTCGTACTTATCACAATAAAATTTACGGTATAGAAAGAGATACAGTGAAAAGTGAAAGTACACATGTCCTCTCCTAACCTTTCATTCCAATCTTCAGAAACATCATTGCTATTTCTTGTGTATTCTTCCAAACATCTTCTATGTATATAGTATGTAAAAATAATACATATATGTTACACAT